GTAGAAGGGTATCTCCCCTTTGTGAGGTAGTTGTGTACTAGGGTCATCTAGCATTTGTTGTCTCCTATGGAGAATACCTCTAAAGTCGAGGGGGATTTCTATATGCTCGGTCGAGGAAGAATCTCCTGTGTTACTGACTTGTTCCCACCTTTCTTTTTTTATGCTCGCCAATTTGGACAGTATATATGCCCGGGTGTTATGCTCGTGGGGGATGTGTTGCACGTCTACTGACTTAAATTTCTTCTTTCTTTCTTGGACCAGAGTCCAATATTCGACGAGATGGTCATTTTTTACTTGGTATTCTCCTCAGACTTGGGACGCCACGAGCTGGGAATCAGTGAAGATTTTCACCTCCTCGGCTCCCAGGTCCTTGGCTAGGCGCAATCCTGCCAAGAATGCCTCGTATTTGGCTTGGTTGTTCGAGGTTCGGAAGGACAATGTGAGGGAGACTTCGATTAGAATCCCCTCCTTGTTTTCTAAGATAATACCCGCCCTACTGCCTGTTGAAATGGAGGAGCCACTGACGGTCCACCGACGCGTCCCGTCCAGGGGTGTGGGAGAAGTCATTTCGACTACGAAGTCGGCTAGAGCCTGAGCCTTGAGTGCTTTCCTGCTTTCGTATTTGATGTCAAACTCGAAGAGTTCCAACGACCATTTCAGCATCCTACCTGCGATGTCTGGTCTACTGAGTAACTATCTTATTGGCTGCTCGATTCAGACGACTATGGTGTGTGCCAAGAAATAGTGTTTGAGCCTCCTCGCTGCATTGATGAGGGCCAAGGCCACTTTTTCAATTTTCTAGTATCTTACTTTGGGGCCCTTCACGGTTTAGCTTGTGAAGTAGATAGGCTTCTTCCCTTCTGGGGTTTCTCAGATTAGTGCGGCACTCACGGCCTTAGAGGTAACGGCTAGATAGAGATAGAGGGTTTCATATTTTTCTGGTCGAGAGAGGACGAGTGGCTGCGATAATTCCTACTTCAGGTGGGTGAGGGCTTGCTCGCACTCGCCCATCCATTAGAAGGCTACCTCTTTGCGGAGAAGTTTCAAGACGGGGAGTGCGTGCTGGGCAGATTTTACCATAAAGCGAGAGAGCGACGTGAGCATGTCGTTTAAGATTTGGATGGACTTCTTTGAATTAGGTGTTGTAGATTCATAGAATGCTCTACAATCATTGGGGTTCGCTTTGATTCCCCGTTCTGTCAGGTAGAAGCCGAGGAATTTTCCTGCCCGCACGCCAAAGGTGCATTTTTTGGGGTTGAAGCGCATTCTGCATTTCCTTGCCTACTTGAAGACTTTTTTCAAGTGGAGGGCGTGTTTGAATTCTCATGTGGACTTGACGATCATGTATTTCATGTAGACTTTAAGATGTCACCTATGTTATTGCGGAATACTTTGTTCATCATACGCTGATAGGTAACGCCCGCATTTTTTAAGCCGAAGGGCATTACATTATAGTAATAGTTGCCTAATTTGGTCATGAATGTTGTATATTTTTTGTCCGCTTTTGCCATAAGGATCTAGTTGTACCCAGGATATGCGCCCATGAAAGATAATAATTTGAAATCAACTGAATTATTAACCCGTTTGTCGATGTTTGGGAGGGGTAAGCATCTTTTAGGCTAGCCCGGTTGAGATCAGCATAATCAAAGCACATACGCCACTTTCCATTAATTTTTTTCACGAGGACTACATTTGAGAGCCAGGTTGTGTACTGAGCTTCAGAAATAAAATGTGCCTTTAATAGATCTTTTATAGCCTGCTCGATAGCCTCTGTCTTTTCGGGAGACTGCTTTTGCCTACGCTGAGCAAATGCCTTAAGGGAAGGGTCTATAGTCAGATGGTAACATGCAATTTCTGAGTCCAATCTGGGCATTCCAGCTGCACTCCAGGCGAACAGATCAACATTCTCCTTCAAGTATGCTTCCATTTGTCTCTTCGCCAGATCGGGGAGGTCGACTACAATCTTTACTCCTCTAGAGGGATTGTTCCCGAGAGGGATGATCTTGAAGTCCCTGTCTATGACATGTAGCATGGGATCCGAAGGCTCTTTGTTTTATGTAGCCGGGAACGAGCTTTCCCCTTCGACCATGGGCTATTTCCCTCTTCTCTTCCACTCTGTGATGTCTATCTTGGAGAAGCGGTTGTCTAAGTCGATGGAATTGACCCTCGATAGTGGTTTAGGAAGAGCAGGCCCGGTGACTATTCAGGGCTGAGCATTGATGGAACTCAGACCCTTGGCTGAAGCTTTAAAACACCTTCTTGCTGCTTGGACGCCCCTGTGTAAGGTGGCGACTAAACCTTCGGCAGTGTAGTACTTCATCTTGAGATTCATGGTGGAGGGCACCGCAATCATCTTGGATAGAGTGGGCCTCCCAAAGAAGAATTGGTAGAGAGACAGGCAGTCCACCACTAGAAACTGGGTCTTGATGGCCCTGGCCATCACCCCTCTTCCAAAGCTGACAATCAGCTTAACATACCCCTAGGGTTTGGTGATGGTCTCGTTGAAGCTCTGGAGATCTGAGCCTATATATGGGGTAAGATGGCTTTAATTTAGGTTTAGGGTGGAAAGTAGTTGGATGTACATTATGTCCATTGAGATTCCTTGATTGACTAGGATGCGCTGAACATCGAAGTTCTCCATGCGTGCTCGTACGAGCAGCAAGATGGTCGAATTGGGAGCTCCGCCTGACAATTCTTCCCTGTAGAATGTGAGGGGGTGAGAGCCTCATCTGAACTTGTCGAGGGTGGTGTCCATGTCAGAGTTAGATTTTATTAATTGATTGAACCTTCTCTTTACGGATCCCACCGTGTGCTTGTTAAACCCTCTGCCAGAGATGACCATCACCGCGGGGAAGTATTCCCAGGTACTATGTAAGGAAAATTATAGTGGAACTTCATTTATGTCATGAAAGTATAAATATTCTGGCCTCGTGATGCTCATGGAGGACGGTATGATGTCGATATTGGGGGACTCCTTCCCCTCCTCGACATTCTTGGTTTCTTGAGGCTCCTTATGGGTACCATATTTCTTCTTATACTGCTTGAGGTGTCCGTCTCGGATCAATATCTCGACTGAATCCTTTAGATGGATGCAGTCATCGGTGTTGTGCCCATGGCTATTGTGGAACCTACAGTACTTGCTATTGTCGGTCCTAGGCTTGGTGGGTGTCTGGAAAGGAAAGTGTACCCCAGCCTGCTTGAATTTTGAGTTGTCGGATTAAGTCAAAATACGCTCCCTTGAAGTGTTCAGGGGGGGTGTAGTTGTGGAACCAGCTAGCAGACCCCTTGTAGTCTTTGGAGTCTCGGGATTTGTCTTTCTGCTTCTTCTTCTCTCCCCTCGACTGGATGTCGAGGGCTCGTATCTTTTCAAGGACTTCACATTATCTCAGTGCCTTGAGTCCCTTGCATTGTTGGTTATATCCTTCTCTTCATACTGAATGTACACTTGAGCCTTAAGGAGGAGGGCGTCGAGCGTGGATGGAGTTTCGATGCCCACAACCTTTGCGAAGTCGCTGCGGGATGGAGCTTGCGCTCGAGAAGGTATTTCTTCATGGCATCAGTCGTTGAGACTTGTACGACTTCTTTAGTGAAGTGCGTGATATAAGCTCGCAGAGGCTCATCCCTGCCTTAGATAATTGCTTCTAGTGACGCTTTTGATTTTGGATGTCGGTAGGAGGCGGTGAAGTGCCTCAAGAATATCCTTCCCAGCTGTTTCTAGGAGGTAATGGACTCGTCGGGAAGACTCTTGTACTACGCCATGGCACATTTCCTTAAGGTGGTTGGGAATAGTCTACACTTGATCCTCGGTAATCAAGGAGGGCGCCAATATCCTCTATATGGTCATCTAGATCAATTGTATTGTCATAGGACCCCAACGGAGGTGGCTTCTCTAGCTCTATTGGGAGTCGCACTTCTGTTATCTCCCTCGACAACGAGCCGTGAGTGTAATACCCCAAATTTGTCCTACCCTTCTACTTTTATCTGGTTTATGCATTGTCGCGCTTTTCTCATGTACATATCTCCATTAGGTCATTTAACATTGCATACATTCGCTAACAACATGATTTGGCATGGAATCAATGATAGGATAGAATTAGGGTTTCCATGGCTTTGATGGCTCTCATCTTCACTCAGGCTTGAAGCAGTTCGTTTCCGAGTAACTGTGGTTTATGGAACTAGTGTTTGGATTCTTAATTATGGTGAACTTCTTCCCCATCAAGCTATAAGGCTGTCATCCTTGTCAAGGGCAAGATCACTAGGGTTTCACTAAAGGTTTAAGTAAAGACTATGTGAACTAAGGTCTAAGTTCAAAGTCATCTTGAATATCTTCTTCAGGGGTCCAAGACATTGTTATTCTAGTGATCATATAGTCGGGACATGGTACAAGATGTGGATTGTAATCAAGGTGTCATTATTTCAGATGCTTGTTGCTTGACACACAAGTTTGGTTTATATTGAGGAAGTGAATTGAATTAGGGATTCATTGAAGTTGTAATTTGATTGGAACTCGTTCATTAAGATGTGAAGAGGATTTGGGGTGAATAAAAGTTCTTAAATATTCGTGTGGGATTTCTTAGAATAAAAAGGCATGTATCAAACTCATTTGTTTCATCCAACAATCAAAGTGTCATCCAAACAGTCATTCAAGAACTCATTAAAGATTCAAGTCTCTTCGTGATTACCTCGCAAAAAATTTGGATTCGTGCCATGATTATTTGAATTCATACAAAAGCGTCTAAAGGGAATATTGAAGGGAAAGGAATTTGGAAGTTCAAAATCAATTTGAAAGTTCAAGGTTACAAATGAATTACATCATCCAATTTTCAAGTTAGAATTCATTAAGGCTTCCATTTATTCAAGTTCCAAAATACATTACAAATATCCAACACCATTTACAATATCCAAAAACATACTACAAAAATGAGAAATACACTTAAAGATGCATATATTGATTCTCATCATCGCTTTCTATGTGGCCTTGTCGTGTTTGAAATGCAACCTTAGTTTGCTTCCATCTTCATTATCTTCTTCATGACCAAACTGGCGTATTGTAACTTGCCATGATCTATGCCCGTTCTTTCAATCCAAAGCAATCCTGAACATTTATACAACAAAAAGAAAACTCAGAAGGAGAAACATGTATAAAGCAATACAGAAAACCAGTTTAGAATTTAACCAAATAACCAATTCCAAACAACCCTTTTCCCTAACCATATTCTCCATAACCTATAATAGAAGACTAACAAAACCAAAACAGATTCTTGACAAACCTCTAACCAACCAACTGTCAAACAACCTAACTAATTCCTAACAGAATTCCCAACAAACTAAAACAGAATTCACTAAAAGTAACCAAAACATAATTTTTTATAAAACGTTCTCTAACCAACTCATAACAACCCCTAACAGAAACTAACAAAGCTAACTGATTCCTCCACTCAACAAATTCTAACAGAATTAGAACAGAAGAAACAAAAAAAGGGGTAACAGAAGATGGCAGAAGAGAGGGAGAGATTCAGCAGGATACGGTTTCTTACATTGAGAATTTTCAGAGAAATAGATATACAGAGATTTGCAATAAAAGAAAAACTCACCAACAAATTCTGAGATCTCTCTCTCCAGATCTCTGCTTCCATTCTTCAATCTTCATCTTTCTCGAATATCAATATCCACCATCTTCATCAACCTTCATTCTCTGCAACAACCACAACAAATCCTTCATCCTTCTCTATAACAACCACGACAAATCCTTCATCCCTCTTGGCAACAGACTTCTGCAACCTTCAACACAACAACAAACGCACATCATCAATCAATTTCTCTTCAACGCAGTAACTCTGCAACGACAACAATTTCAATCTCCAGGCATCATCTTCTGCATAATAGAACGTACCACATTACTGTTTGTGCACAGATCCAGAAAAAATGCAAAATATGAAGGAGTAGAAAGAGAAAAAAATCATCGAAGAAGAAGAGCGTAATCGTACCTGAGGTGTTTCTGATTCTTCCATTAGAGCCGTCGTCCGAGCGTCTCTGACAGGTAAATCACTCTTCCTCTGTTTTCGATGTATTCTCCATTGATCTTGCTGGCATAATGTGAAGCTCGTTTGTGCGAACGAAATCCGAAATCTGAAATTCGTTGAGCGGTCTGTCGTAGAGACGAAGCCGCGTCGTTGAAGTTGAATCGGAGATGAGGTCGAGGTACAGATCGTGCCATTGAGAGAACGTAAGGTTATGAAAATCGAACGAAGATGTCATGGCGACGTTGAGGGTTGAATCTAGTGGTGGTTGTAATGGACGAAGAAGATGAAGATTCACGACGGAGCTGTTGAACTAAAAAGAGCGAATCAGAGGTCCAAGCTAGGCGAAGGGGTGTGTGTATCACATCGGTGGTGGTTCGAAACTGATGGAGCCAGGAAGAAGAAGCCGCGTGGCGCTGCTCGCGGTTTGGGAAGAAGAAGATATTAGGTTTGAACGAGGAAGCTGATCCATCAGAGTTAAACCCTACCCAAGCCAAACGCAGTGTTTCTTGTCCGTTTGGATAATTTTTATTCATTTATTTTTATTATATTCTATTGAAATTCTAAACAAAATATGGTGTAATTATGCTGTGGGATTGGGCCGCTCCATGCTCTCCTCAGGCCCATTCTCCATTTTTTTGGACTAAAGTCTATCTAATCCAAAAAGATCCTCTTGGAATCAAGGTGGAAGGGCCTTACGCTCAAATCTCATTGTTAATCACACACCTAGTTTCAATTCTCACCCCCTGAGTTCTTCTATGATTTTTCTTTTAATTGTAGAATATAATATAAGTTTTTTTAGGAATTAATTCTTTAGTTTTTTTTAGAATTTTTCTCATGTAAAAACTAATATAAAAAAAATACTTTTTTTCTTTTAGGTTTTATTCATATTTTTCACATCGCTTCGCCATGTTATTGTTGACGCGTTTGTTCATTGTGCAAGGTACATTTTTCGTGCTCTCTATCTTATAACATAACAGGTAGTTATGTGATCAAAGCATACGGCTTATGATCGCTTGCAATGCGACACGCCTTATTTCTCATTGTCTTGAGAAATTCATATCATATTATATGTTATCCTGATACATATGATATTTTGTGATATTTTGCACCAGAATTTCTGATTACGTGCCATATTCACAACATGCATTTGCCTTTATCTCAGTTGGATATTGTTTCTGACTTTGTTTGTTTCTTTGTGAAGCTTGCTCGACGCATATTCCCTACTTCTCTAGCGCTTTCGTCTGCTCTTTGCTCGCTTTGGTAGTCTCCGCTACTACCCTTGTACTTCTTCGCACTTTATTGCTTCCTAGATATCATGAGAAGTAGGAAATAAAGAGCGTGCGCTCGAAGTCGCTGTTTAAAGACCTGTAGCAGGCATTCCGCACTTCATTTGCTATATGTGTTATGCTTGTGTTTGTTTACGTTCTTGTTGATCGATGAGTCACTCAATTTAGCAATTGAGATCACGACTTCGCTCTCAGTGCATGCTCCCTATATGATTTTATCGCTTTCCATTCTTTCTTATTGATCGATGAGTCACTCAATTTAGAAATTGAGATCACGACTTCGCTCTCATTGCATGCTCCCTATAGGATAGTTTTTTAGACTTTTCTTCGACATGCTAACCTAGGCAGGATCTCTTTAGGTGTGCTTTTTTACTGTCTTGCTTGCTTTATCCTTGTACATACCATGTTCCCTTAGGATGCGCTTGCTCCGTTCGGACGCAAGCTAGACCTTAGGTTGTAAACCATGCATGCTAACATTAGGTAGAAATTTCCCCTTTCATCCTTGACGTAGGGTTACCATTTCATGATAACATTAGGTTAGAGATAGGATAGTCTCCCATAGACTCTTTTCTTCCCCTCTTTGCATCCTTGCATCTAAAACAAAAACTCATTTTTTAAGCAAATCATAAAACATGCTAACAACACTTAAACCCTTTTTCAAGGTAATAAAATACAAACCAATTCAAATCATTTTGTGCGCTCGAGCACCTTTTCTCTAAAACCCTTTTCAGGTAAGGACATGATTAGTTTACTTCTTTGCCAACACATAAGTCTCCAAAGGTCGAGCTGCGGCAGAAGGCGGAATTAACATTGTCCATAAAAAAACACAAAACAAACAAAAACATATGAGCCGAACTACGGTAGCTCTGATTCCTCAAAAAGGATATGTAGGCATTGGGGTAGGGTCCAGGCGAGCATAATTTTATTTTCCCTACATTCTTTTCTCCTTTATTTTGCATGCATTCCTTTCAGTAGTATAGTAAACAGTAAGCATAGATTAAACACACCCATAAGATAGACAACAAGAGTGGATACCGTAGAGTACTACAGGCGTGTGGGGTGCTAATACCTTCCCCTCGCGTAACAGACTCCCTTACCCGATCTCTCAGTCGCAAGACCGTGACTTCTCCCTTCTCAGGTTTTCTCGATGTTTACCTTTCCCTACATGTAGGATAAAAGACGTTCAATGGCGACTTCATTGTTTTGATGATTTTCAGCCGGTTGTTTCAGCTGGCGACTTCACTGGGGAATAGGTCGACCAAATGTTGGTCCATCCCGGAGTCGCTCCTAGCTCTTGCTTTCTTTTATTTGGGTGTTTATCTTTACGCTTTCAGTTTATTCACTCATTTTGTATATACTTGAGCATATGTATGCATTGCATTTTACTGTCTTCCATATACTACTGTTGTACTCGATCTGCTTCTTATTGGGTGGGTGTTACTATGAGGTAAAAGGCTTAATACCCAGGCAAGAGTTGTATACCATAGGAACCTTAGGAATATAGTGGAACATGAACGGCTAGTTGACTTAGGTCTCACTATCGCCGCCATGTCGTCCATGCTCAGATGAGGTACAAATGAGGGGCTATCATTTTCACGTAGGTGATACGGCGATAGTTTTTTTAGGAGTACCCTCGATTCTGAGTTACCATTGCCTTACCCTGACCTAGTCTTCACCCGCGAGTGGGGAGGGAATTTTTACCACAGGTACAAATGGTGACTATGCTCAGACAATGATTATTTGTTCTAGTGGTTATGTTCTGGATTTCTGTTATAACTTTATGCAGATGCTATATCCTGTTGGTGACCGTATGGTTCTCAGATTTATTTTGAGTTTCTGACTTGTTTACCTGGAGGTTCATTCAAGCCTTCAATCTTGGTATTCCCAGCATTGTTCAAAAATTCTCAACAGTATCTGATGTTCCAGAAGCATTAATCTCGTACAATGGGAGATCTACATGGTACTTGGTTCTTATATGTGCAGAAGCTATGTCGGACCTTTGATCTGATGATACTCATATGGTTCAGAACAGTGCAACAATCATATTCAGGAATGATGGAACCTTGATCCTCTTTGATCTCATGCCTTTGCATACATAACATGGCTAGCCACATGCTTAACATACATGTTCTATTATTTCCAAGGAATCAAATTTGCAAGCCTCGTGTGGAACCTTTCCATCATTTACTTGCGTAAAATCAAAATTAAAGCATGCAAATTCCTTGGAAATGACAGAACATGACATGGCATTCATTCATACACCCCATGCATATTCATGCATTCATGACAGGTACCCGAAGATTGGGGATTCTTATTCAGACCTGGGGTTCTCTTCAGAGGTTCAACCTGATTTCTCACCGCACATGCTCAGGGATCAGTTATGGGATAACTCCGAGTGGTACAGGCAAACTTTGGCCCGTGGTCAGAAATTTCTTCAAGCAGGAAGATAATCGATTAAAGACTCAGATAAGCCAGGTCATGGAAACTCTGATGGTGATGTGTATTATTTCCTTAAGACATGATATGCTTGGTGATGCATATTATACTGGGGCACCTGGCCAATCGATTGAAGAAGGTATGTCATCCAGAGACCAAGTCCAAGACTGAATCAATTCAAAAATTGTCATGCTCACATCGGATCTGAAAGGGGATTCTCTCGCACACTCGAGCTTCAAGACTACAGAAAGTCGTCAGAATCAGCAAGTCCATACGGAGTCAAGTCTCCTCAACAATGGAAATCATTGGCTTCTTTACTGCATTTTCATTTGCATTCTTGCTTGTTTGTTTATACATTGCTTGTATATAGAAACTTATCTATTTTTTAATGAAAATCTTAATGCAATAAGTATGCTTGTCTTGAAGTGTTCCTTTCATTTTTACTCATCCATTCGTTATCACTCTTTAAATGTTTTACTTGCATATTGGTGCCAAATTTCCTAGCCTTATGCTTAGGTAAAGATTCAAAGGAGGAGGATGACAACCTAAAACGCAAAATCTCTGGTTGGTACGCTATTGAGTAAGACCCTGCTGACGATGTACAGGCCTTGTTTCAAATCCCTAAACACCGGAGATATAAGGAAGATAGACCCTCGTTAACCCCTCTGAGCCTTCGAAGTAGGAGTTTCTTTTCTGTTCAGAAAAAAACCCTCATTTTAACCCTGGGCGGGTAGTGTTGATCGGGACTTTATAAGTCTGTCGGGATACTAACTGCAAGTATACAGTTCAGTCGTTCTAGTTTTAAAAGATTATCGAACCCACAGAGACTGTGTATCAATCGCATACGATCTAATGCTAAAGTTTGCCTAACTAAGCGATGAATATTTGATTTTTGGGGGAAACAGTTTAATTAAAAGTAATAGTACTAATTATACCGGTATGTGATAATCATACTTAGGGAATTCGATGAATCGCTTGGCCTATAAAGTATTTCGGTAAAAGCTAATTGTTTAAAAACCTGAGACATACACTCTCGTGTTTATGAAATAAGTCATGCTACTAAACCTAGTGGATGCACTTTAAATTTAATAACACTTTTTGAAAACAATTTGAATTTAATTAATTTATTAAAACACTCTCGTGTATTTAAAAATCAATGCTTCGTTACCACTATCTGGGTTGAACCCCAGCTCTCGCATACAGGTTCTTGCCTTAATTAATTTCCCACTCTCGTTGCAAAATCGTGTTAATTAACCTCTCACTCTCGTGACAAGGATAGTTAAATTAATATTGGAAATTGGAAACCAAAAATTGTTTTATAAATATTTTTGGCCAAGGTATCATTGAATTCTTTCAGTTCTTACGGTCACATGCCAGTATTAATAATTTAGCCAGACATAATTAACTTAACAACAATAAGGTTTAAAATATAATTCATGGTAATAATTGGCATATTATAAAAACTGAATAAATAATAATTGCAATATAAAAAACCTGGAATTAAAGATGCTAT